GCATTATGAAGGGTCATAGGAATGTATGTTGTGTTTCAGAATTTAAAGTAAACACCTGTGATTCATCAATAAATCAATAAATAGATTAACATGGAATGAGTATGTAAATATCATTTGTTACAGAAATTACTCAGGGAAATTTACCATTTCTTTGACATATTTTACTCTACTCTCCTCCCCCCCACAAAGAAACCCTATTGTTGAATGTTGAAGCTTCTGGTTTCCTTTGTATCACTCAACATCTCTCTAATTTTCACTGCTTATTTTCTATTTGTTTTGCTTGTTCTTTATGCTAGAAATTTTCTCTGCATTATGTTCAGACTTTCTCATGTATTTCAACAATGTATTTCATTTCTGAAATCTACACCTATTCCACGAACCTATATTAGGTTAAACTTACTAAACAGTTGAGAAAATACAGACGTATCAATTCTTCTGATTTCAGTTTAGTCAAATGATAAAAAAGACAAAAAAAGTGTCCATTTTGTGTTGGCCCTTTTGTGTGCTAGAATAATTTCATCACAGTTTCAAATATCAAGCTCATTTTTTATATCCCACAAGAGGGATTTAGAGTTTCAGAGCTTTTCTCTATGTGCTTTCTTTGCACATTATCTTGGCTTAAATTATCACATTCATGCTAATGTATACTAACTAAGTCTAAAATTTTTGCCTTTATCATCTAGTCTGGCTACAGTCTGAGTCTTCTCACTGATGCTAGACTCTCCACTGCCCATCTTGGTCCTTAAATTTTGATTTGTTCCCAGCTAGACTCACTATTCTCCGTGTCATCTTAGGTCAAAACCTTGTGAGTCAGCATGACCTTTTTTTCATCAGCATAATATTTAAAGAGTGCAAATTTAGACTTATAATATAACATTCTTTCATTTTCTGTAATGAAAGCATGATTACATTTTTAACCTCATGCTTCAAAAATAATTCTAATAATTTCCAGGAAAATGTAACCAAGTGAATGATTTCTAGGTTATTAAACAATAATACTCAAAGATTTGTTAGTCATTTATATTTAACATTATGTATTTAGACAGTGATGCATATATACATGCATAACTACTTTTTTTGTTGTTGTTGTTACCAGGAAACAAACTCAGAACCTTGCACTTGGCAGACAGGCTCTGTACCAATGAGCTATATCCCTGACCCCATAAATACTTACACATTTAATGTTTTTTCTCTTTTCAGTGCAAACGTGCAGTGTTGGCGGGGAGGGAGCCCTTTCTTAGTCTCGATCTGCTCGTAATGCTGAAGGCTGAGATGCATAATCCTCTAGTTATTATTCTTAATTTGTAGCATCAGTTCTTCTGTTGAGATGTCTTTGGTTTCTACCACATGTGGGGACTGAAAGTTGATGTCACTTTCTTTTACCACCATTCTTCATCATCACACGTGATGCTTCTTTGAGCCACCAACTCTCTCAGTTAACTCCTTCTGTTTAAGGGCCTTTCTGCAGAGCTGCTGAGATATTGGTCCATCATTAAGACCTGTGTGCTTGAGATCTTGTGAACCGTGATGCTAGCCAGTGGGCAAGAAGGATTCACTCATTTACTGTATTCTTGGACTCATGGGATTTGAAAAAGAGACACGTACATTCTTCTGACTCTTTTTGATTCACATAGCTTAGGAATATAGAAGAGACAGAGGACTGAGGATGGGCATAGCTGAAGTCCTTACTATGAGTGTCTAAGCTTTCTTCATGCTTAATTTCCTTCTTTTTTTGGGGGGGGGGGATAGGAGGACCATAGAAAAGAAAATATTTCTTTTTTTTCCTCTTTTTCATTTTTTTTTTTTTTTTGAGACAGGGTCATGCTGTGAATTACAGGCTGGTTTTGAACTCACTTTGTAGTTGGGTTGGCCTTGAACTTATGGAGAGCCACTTGCCTCAGTCTCCCGAGTGCTGGCATTACAGGTGTGAACCACCACACCTGAAGAGAAAGCTGTCTTAATAATTTTCCTTGAGAATCTTTTGTTACATATTCAATGTAACTTCATTTTCATAATAATACATTTAAAGTAGAGGATTTGATGTTTTTCTCTTGGGTTCCTTTTTGACATCCCAAATGGACCAGAGCCTGAGGGATAATGGAATTATGAAGAAATATATCAATTAGTACTTTATGTTATGTAATAAACGTGGGCTTATCTTTAATTTATTTCTCTTTTTGGCTCCAATAAACAAAATCCATGACCTCTGTCTTTTTGAAAATACCTTTTCTTATTGGTGCCTTTCTACTCTTGACAGCTACTGCCTTGATAAAGACCCCATTAAATATCAGAATTATCCAAATTAGTCTCTTAGCAGACTTCCTCGACACAAGTCTCTTGCAATTTGAATTTGTCTATCTGCAATATTGTTTCTGGAATATATTACTTTTATCATTTTACTCTTCTATTCAAAAAAATTTACCATGGTTGCCCACTGGTTGAAATTCAAGCAAATTACTTAACTTCTGGGATGACTGTACTAGGAGTTCATTTTATCCATAAAACCTTATTTTCTACTAGTTTCAGAAAGACACTTTTCATCCGGGTTTCTTCCCTTTCTTTCTTTGTCTATTTTTTTCTGTCTTTTTGAGACAGGGTCTCACTCTGCAGTTTAGGTTGGTCTCAAACGCATCACCATCCTCTTGTCTCAGCCTCATGAGTGTTGGTATTACAAGCCACCACGCCTAGTTTTTAAAATCCGTTTATGAATCACTTTGTTTTACTCTTGAAATAAGGCACAGTTGAATTAATGATAATTTTTGCCAGTAATATTATCCCTTTCATTTCTTGTTACTATAATTCTACCCCACCCCCAAGAATCAGCTCAAGCCTTGCTCTTTTCTCACACTTTATTTAGTGTGGGATATTTACATTAGTCTCTTTGACCTTGAATCAGTGGTTCCCAAATATTCAAGGAGAATAGAATCATCTGGAGGTAGAGGTGAATTTAAAAATTGAGAATTCCCAGTCCCAGAGCTAGGAGCCTAACCAGCAGCATATTTGAAGATACCAAAATGTGTTAGCCAGACAGTAGTTACTGGAACAAAATATCTGATACACACAACTTTAAGGGGAGGGGTTTGTTTGGTTCATGTTTTCAGAGATTTGAGTTCAAGGTCAGCTGACTCCAGGGCAGAAACCTCCGGGCAGAAGGGCATGATAGAGCAGGGCTCTTACCCTCAGGACGACTGAGAAGCAGAGAGAAGGGAAGAACCAAGGAGCTCTGGAAGAAAGACCCTTCAAGGTTGTACTGCCAATGACCTACTTCCTCCAACGGCACATTCAGCTATGAATCTGTCGTAGTTTAATCCATCGATGGGGTTAGCACCCTTCCATCCAATCACCTCTCTAGGTTTCTCTTAATTCAGTCAAGCTGACATTCAAGATTATTGATCCACCTAGTGATTTCAGTGTGCAGTGAAGTTAGCTTTACCCCCCTTTTTTCTATGGTAGTGTGATTTAGCTATACCATGACTTTACGCTTGGTTATATTTAGTCTAACTACGGGATCCAATTATTTTGGTTCTCATCCAGAGGGTAACATGGCAATGGAAAGAAAATACCAGGTACTCTGGTGACTGAACCATAGACTGTAGTGTTCTCTACTCAGATCTACTTGTGTCCCTACTACCAAGGTGTAGTTTTCACAGCAGTTCCTGACGTTATATGTTTGGGGGGAGGTGGCCTCCTCACAACAACCAATTTTCCACCAACTTGGCATCCTACAACACCTCACTTCTGACATTAGTCAGAGCTATCACAGACCCCTTAAGCATTCAGACCCACACCCCGTGCTTCACTGCTTGGTCACTGTTTCTGCACATCTGACTCACTGTAGATCAGAAGTTCCCTTGACCCACTTTGGGTTCAGAGATTTGGCAGAACAGTTTCCAGAACTCAGGAAGCCTCTTTGTGTACTCTTACATGCTTATGATAAGGACTAGCAAAAAGCATACAGATGAATAGGCATTTATAAGGCAAGATATGGGGGGCGATGTGTAGGGCTCTCAAGCCCTCTCTGAATGTCACTCTCCTAAGAATTCAGTGTGCTCACCAACCTGGAAGCTCTCTGAATGCCACTGATTCATCTTTTCATAGATTTTTCATGCCCTTTCTTAGGCATTAATTTTTTGTCCCTCTCTCTTCCCTGAAGTGTGGTGGAGGCAGGATGGAGGGAAGGGTTGGGGATGGGGCTGAACATTGGAACTTCTAGTCACCTAGTAGTCCTATCTGGGGACTCATCAAGAGTCAGTTTATTAGCATAAGCTCAAGGAAGACATTATGAGTAACAGAAGGTGCTCTTGTCATACCCTTCATTCAATAAATTCCGTGGGTTATAGAAACTCTTTTCCAGGAATGTAAGGTGAAGACCAAATATATTTCTTACATATAAATGCTTTTGCCTATTTGTTCACCCATCCTGCAGTCCTGTCACCTGTGTACATTCTTTGGCCAACCTTGGGATCCTTTCTTAATGATAATGTGTTTGGGAGCTCAGCTCCTTTACTTCTCAAAAAGAAAAGTTTCCTGCAGAAACTTGTAGTTCCCTGTGGAAACAGGCTGAAGTCACGGACTTGGTTTGAAGCACTCCCTTACTTCGCTTAATTCCTCTTCTGGTTCACCTCTCCTTCTGTTTCTCCTGAGGGCATCTTCTTAATAAATCACTTACTCGAGAACCTTCAATTCGAAGTCTGCCTTTTGGAAACCCAACCTAAGATCTTATCTCTCTGTCAAAGAATTGCACTGAGCACATATGAAACTCAGTGCAGATTTATTAATATAGGGATTCTTGAAATAAGAAATAGAAATACAATTTAATAAAACCTTGGTTGAAGGTGCTGAAATACATATAATATATTTAAGGGTTCTCAATAGAATTGCATATACTTTCTTAAATGTAATTTAAAAATCTTGGAGAGTGAAATAATTGACTAGGTAAAATTTTATCAACAGTGATTATTATAAAAAACTTAGATATAGTTTAAGATCAAACCATAGCGTGAAGGAAATTGCCTTTTATTGTTTTACCACAATTGAACAACATGATGGGAGACTATATTTAATTTCACATGACAGGAATGGTCACAGGACAAAACTGCAGATTTAAAGATCTTGACTGCTACATTTTGAGATTCTAGAATCAGCTAGTTCACCCGATGAAATGGAGTAAGTAAACAGACAGAAGAGGTCAGTTGACAAAGAAGGGCTGAAAAAGTAGAAACAAAGAACAAAATAAATATTAGTCGTTTTATAGTTTTCTTTTAAAGTGGAAAGAGGAAAACAGAACAATAGGAGAATAACTGATTGGATAATAAATATGGGGTCACTTCAAGTTCCTTTTCAGTAAGGATTAAAGCAGAGAGAACTTCATTATCATGTTAATTGAAACTGGCCCGTTTAGAAATCTTGACTGGTAGCGCCCCCTTGAAGGTCAGGTCGGACAACAACTTAGTTTCAGTGTGCTTGGTGGTGTGGAACTTTAAAAAGGATCTCTCCGTTTTTATTTTTAGCCTCGTTTGTTTTATACAGTCCAAAAGGTATGTTTCTTTTACACGTGCTTTCTTCGTGAACTGCAACTGCTGATTAGAACACAAAAATGAAAGCAAGTAAGTGCTAATTGATTCTATGGTCCTTTCACTGGACTCCAGATTTTGGACAAGGGTTCAAAGAAATGTAGTGATTTAGGTACAAGAGATAAACACGTGCAGTATAAATCACTCAAGCCACTTTTCCTGTTTTCTTTTTCTGGAACACTGTCCTAGGCCTGGTGATTTTTAACCCTTTCTTCCCTGCCGTGTGTCACAGAGGAACGCAGTCATTCAAAGGCAAAAGCATCTATTGTAGGTTCTCCAAGTCAATTAGTTTCCTGCTGGTTTGAGCCCATTCCTACCCCGCTCTTTTGCCTGATGTGGTGGTAGTGCACCATCTCCACAGCCCCAGCTCCCATTCTTACCTAGCAGTCCTGTCTGTGGTCCAGCTTCCACTGAGTGGCCCTACGTTCTGCATCTGTGGCATGGGAGTGACTTTCTGCTGTCACTGATTTGATCTTCCATTCTCCCAATAGGGTCTTATTTAATATGATTTAGTAGATTTAGGCTACGGGCAGGCAGATTACAAAGAAAGAACTGGGAAGAGAAAGGGAGTCCCAAATCCTATGGATGCTCAGGGGCAGGGGATCAGTATCCCTCTTTCCAAAGACTGGGGAAGCCACTGAAGAAAGGAAGTCACTGTTTTATTTCTCAGCTGGACGTCTGGTCTCCTAAGCCAGTGGCTGTCTGAGCCAGGGAAAAGAAGCCAATGTGGAGATGCCAGGGAGAGAGGGACCAGTCACAGAACGGACAGTGTTGTGGACACAGAGGAATGAGTCTACACACAAGAAGTCCTGCTCACTGATGGAAGAGACCTGGGTAGAAAGAAACTAGCAAGGGGGCAGGAAAGGAGGAGAGGGATAAGACTCCTTAGCATCTTGGAGCTGTTGTTCCAAGAGAGCCTGTTCAGGGCTGTCTGAACTGACCATTGCCCCTAAGATAACCTGCATTTTAGGCACCTGCCACACAGAGGACAGCTGATGGAAGTTGGCATTGTGCAGGTAAGCATTAAAACTAACAAAGAGTCTTAGCACAAAGCGAGTTGGGTGCACCCTGCTTTGTTTCTTCTCCTTGGATCCCCCTATATCTCTTTTAATAAGGTACATTTTTGCTGAGAGTGAAGACTGCAGGCAGAAATTGAACAAATATCCCCTCTCTGATGTGCGTGGGCTAAGAAGTGTCAGACTTGGTGTTTTTTCAGATTTTGAAGTATTTGCATATATGAAGTATATTGGAGATGAACTCCACACCTGTGCACAACATTCACTTACGTTTCACGTACAGCTTATACATATGTATATAGCCTGATGATAACTTCATATAATATTAAAAATTATTTTGCCTGAGATCCATCATATAAATTCAAGTGTGGAATTTTCCACTTGTGATATCATGTTGGTGCTGAAAAAGCTATGGATTTTGGAACAATTCTGCTTTTAAATTTTGGGTTTGGGGCACTCAGCCCGTACTGTGATGGTGGACTTAGAGGAGTGGAGACACCCAGACCTGTTAGGTCACCTGTGTCACCTCAGATGGTAAGATTTGTATCAAGCAAAAGGGGAAAAGATCGCAGTGGAATCTGCCTAACAAATATTCTGAGTCAGAAAAGCAGAAACAATCACGTGATTAGAAAAATTTAATAGGCTTAATATTTCACTAAGCTCAAATTGTTCAGTAAGACAGGTACTCTTAACCATCAGTTCACCTAGAACAGTTTCCCACACATTTTGTAGGCTACTAAAACAGATTTTAGACATTGTGATTTTTTTTTTTCCTTTTCTGATCTCTCCTGAGAGCCAGGAACAGAAATTCCTCCTCGCACTGTCTTCTGGACTCTAGAACAGAGAATGGAGAATTCTCAACTTACTCAACTATTTACAAGGTATGTGATTATCTGAGTGTGTGGTTAATCCTATTACCTTCCTGTAAAATATGAGATTTGCTCTTCTACATTAATATAATTATTTGCAGCTGTTGTAAGGATGTTTGAGGCTTCTGTATACACATACAGCATGTAAAGACAGTAGGTTTTGATGTAACATATTTTTCTTACTTTTAGTACCTAGACTAAGCATGGAAAAATTACTTGCCCATTTCTCAGAGTGTACAGGTTCCTCAGCGGTTGGATTTGCTGGTCTCACCAAATGTATTATGAGTGATTAAAAGAATGTCTTTCACATAATAGTAGTTTAATTATTTTGCTTACTTGTCCTTCTACATTATTCCTCAATTAGCAAATGATGTGGCCGCATGTCAAAAATAAATAAATCCATCACCTCCATTTTGCGCTTTGATGTAAAACAAAATCCCTCAAATGCCCACTAGATGGTGCTATCAGAATGCAAACTATTTATCTTTGGTCACAGTACATCTCTATAAAATTTTCATTTTGAAACCCATCCCTGCATGTTATTTTGACTGGTGGAGCAGGTCTGCTTCCAACCAAATGAATGGATTAGGATGATTTAGTATTTAGGTAAAAGATTATGTAATGTTTCCCAGAAGTCCCTAGAGGAGTCTAAGCCAAACAATGATGAAGTGTTTTCTGTCCAGTCCTCATTCAAACCACATCTTCTTGCCTGGCATTTTTAAATTTTCTTAAGCTACTCTAAAGCCATCTAGGAGAAATCTCATAGTGACAGCATCTTTTGACTCTGATCACAACGAACATCTATGGCTTCTTCACCTAGTCTCGCCTCCTGAGCTCAGAGCAGATTACTGTTAATAATTACCTAATTTTTGACAATTTACCCAGGGATCCTAAAAATACAGTCGCTGGGCCAGGAACATTACCAGAGAACTTGTTAGCACTGAAGATTGTCAAGCTCCATCCTGGCATTACTGAATTATAAATTCTACGAGCAAGACGCAGCCACCAGCATTTGTACGAGGCTTTTGGGTGATTACTGTGTGCATGAAACACCCACTGTTTATATCCCTCCCAATGACAAACACACCTTATTCCGTATGGACCTACCTCTTTCCCCAAAGCCCTTTAAAAAGCACAAAGGCCGCAGGTGGGTCAAAGGAATCTGTGAAGGCCAGCATGTGTTCCTCTTGCCCTGCGCAGTGGGTTGGTTCTGTCCTGTGTTGGGTTCTGGCTGTCGCCACGGAGCCTCCAATGCAGAACACAGTGGTTCCTGTGTGCACCGTGCACACGGAGTAGGAGCCTGATTAGTCATTCACATCTCTTTGGGAGGAAAAGTGAGATGCCCGAGAAAGCAGCCAGATGGCAGCCTCGTTCCTAAGTTTAGGGTTTGCATTACTGAAAGGCAGCTCTATTGGCCTTTCACGGTAGCCAAAGAAAAGGATTCTAACAGCAACGGTCATTTATTGGTGAGGCTGTCTCTTTCTCTTTTGCAGTAGGAGCCAGAACCCACAGAGAGAAAAAGGGAGAGGAGCCACCTGTTGATTAATAGGTCAGAAAGCGACTATCAAGCATGGGACCCACTGTTGTTCACATTTCCCGGGTAACACAGAAGATGCTACCAAGCTGCCGTGCTAGTTAAGATGCCCAGCAAATGCTCAAGCCATTCGGAGGAGCACTGGACTAGCTGTCTCTTACCCTCTGACTAACACTAATTACCTGTGCATGTGAATCACCCGGGGCGCTTTGGAATCTCTCAGGCTGCATGACACGTGGATCTCATTGGAATCTTGGGGGGTAGCTCCAGGGTATCAACCTAGGTTTAAATCATCCCCGTGATTTCCATAGAATTCTAGGGCTTCAACACTGCATTGAAGACATTGGGTCGAATCTAAAGCAAAGTGGTTTTCAGCTGAGAAAGCTTTATTTTATTCTGTTTCTTACCCTCGTGTAAATTTCATCAATGGCCTTTATCATCTTGGTCATTTTGGTTATTTATAATGTAGAGATTCTTGTTGTATGACAGGCATCCTTTCCTCGCTCGCCCACCATCTCCTCCTTTTTCCCTCTCCAATTTCTTGTGCTATTTTTTTCCTGTTCTTTTTAAGAAATGAAGACTGAAAATCTAAAACTGTGGTTGCAAATTGGGCATATTTCCATTACTTAAAAGGAAATTTCTGACCAGAAACATACATTCCGTCAGTGTTCTGAATTTAAAGTCTTCTAAACCATGGATATCTCCTTCATGTTTACCTTTGGCCACCTGTTGTTACGTGTCCTGGGGGTGCAGTCCCTGTTTTAAAGGATCTGATAATAAACAGTTTACCTGGGTGTTGATGAAAGGGTGTTATCTTCATCCCATTAGCCCATACCTGTCCAACTGAGTGTGAACACTGTAATTATTGCTTGGAAAAATTCCAGAACTAGTCACCAAACTCCTTTTTGTACTGAACAAGGTAAGTTTCATGAAATCTGTTGTGTATTTTTTTTCTATTTCCAAAAAGCCTATGTTTCCATATAAAATTTTAATATTAATAAAATTTTAAATATTTTAATAATAGGTAGAACTAAGAAGCTATAATGAAATACAATTGTAGTGTGTAATACAAAGCATGATTACACTTGACATAGAAGTGTGCGTGACACTAGGCTTAGTACTTTGCACCTAAGAGAGACTGAGAACTATATCCACGAATTCGTCTCTTAGCGATACATTGCCAAGCCTTATTCAGAGATGGACTTTTGAAATGTAAATGTTATTAAAAGAAATAACATGTTAGATCCTTGCCCCATAAAGTTTGCCAGCTTATTCCTCATAAATGGAGTTTGGATGAAAAAACTGGGGGCTTAGGAAAAGAAACACCATCAGAAGAGCAGGACTAACTGAGAAGAAAAAAAAAGAAAACAAATTAAGAAATTGGGAAGTGGAAGAGTTTTATTTTTCATTTTGAGTTACGGAAGGTCAGAACTGAAACTGCAAATTTCGATGTTATGCTTTGGAGAATGAATGCTCTTTTCCCAAAGATTATTTCCTGAGGGATACCTCATTAACCTGTGGGCACTTTACAGCATGACGGTAACAACATAAAAAGAACAGGACTACGGAGCAGGAAGACATCTTGCATTCCAGAGAGGGGTTTTCTTGGTCCTAGAGGCTTCTTCTATCTGGTCCCAAGCAGAATCACCTGTAAACTAGGCTGTTTCTTGTCACCTGAACAACATTCATTAGGAAGACGTGGACTTTTGAAACTGTTGCTTAGATTTAATTTAGAATTAAAAATACTCTCCCTGAATGAGGTTGAGCACTTCATTTGTGAAGCACTAGAAAAGGTTTTGGGAGAACTATTTGTATTGGACCTATATGCCATTACTGTCATTTAACTAGTAAGCTTCTATGTTATTTCTGTGGCACTGTAAAAATGTCAGACAGCAGCACCTTTCTGTCTAAGACACAGCATATTCAATTAGTAGAAAGCTGGATCGTTTGTTTCCAGAGCAGCTTTTTATTTTCTGTTGTTGATACATTAAAATAGTTAAATACTTACATTCATCTCATCCCATTAAAGGAACTTCATCAGCGAACAGTGAGGTAACATGTTTGGTGACAGCAGGCTTAGTCACCCTGCTGTGAGGAAGAGATGAATAATGTTTTTTAATCTTAAAACTATTGACTCTCTCCTTTCAGAATGTACACACCAGCATTGAAAGAAACTACTGCAGAATCTATTTTGTTAACAGTTTGTCTTTTTCATATCTTTGTTATTAAATCAAATGGTACATTTACTTACATGTTTCTTCATAAAATGAAATTGCTGCGTGACATTTTTTATTGTTTATAATTCCCATTTTGAAAGATCTAGTCATCCATTCTTGAAATGTTATAAGTGCTTTCAGTCTCTACCACAAGTAGTTTTTTTTTTTTTTCTTTTTTCTTGGCTGTTTAGCTGCCAAATCCTCACCCATCTTGAGTGTTATCTTGCATATGTTTTGTGATTTACCTGTTATTTGTCAAAACAAATTTTACAATGATGTTTTCTAGTTTCCCAGCAAAGTATAGCATAAAGAAAGATTGGAATGTAAAGAATCATCTTGGTGCATATTTTCATTAGGCAAAGCTGTTTAGGGAAAATTCAATATTCCAGTAAAATGACTTGAAGAAACCAATTACTGTAGGAATTTAAAAAGAATCAGTATTATCATAATGTTTTTTGAAGCTTAGTATTTTCTTCAAAAAGACTATAACTAAAATACAATTTCATTTAGAGCTTAAATTTTAAGATTATGATTAATTATATTCTCATGTGAGAATTACTTCACTCCAGAATATTCTGCAATTTTTTGAGACCTAACATAGTTGATAATTTATAGTATTACAGAATACTCAATAACAGATTATGCAAATAATTAACTTATTTTTATTATTGCTTGACAGAAAAAGAATATTTGGTTAACACGGTTATAACTCTTGTAAATACTAGAAAAGTAGTCATTAACTCAGGAACCTATTTTATCTATTTTAAAATTGCTGAAATTATAAATGGCAGTATTTTGCCCTTAGTACATGTTGTCATACAATTCACCAGTATCTTAGACTTAAACGATGTGTAACTAAATTAAATTTGGCATTAACAGTAATATAACCATTTTTATTTTTCCAAGAATATTAGAAAATAGTTTTTACTCTTATAGTTAACTGTATAGTCAAGATTTTTATATCAGTTTAACACACCAAAATCCCAAAATATCTTTTTTTTTTTTTTCTGTTTCATTTTTATCGGTACCGGGGATCGAACTCATGACTGCCTGCTCGCAAGGCAGGCGCTTAGGCTGCTGAACTAAATCCCCAGCCCCAAAATATCTTGAGTATAAGAAAGTAAATAAGTATGTATACTATACTGGAAATTTACCATAGTTTAGATATAGTTTATGCATGTTTTTGAGAATACTATCAACTTACTTGTACCTAACTTGTTTAGAACAAATTCTTTTATCATTAGTTGTAACTTAATTTTCTATAAGCATAATATTATAATTTAGTTTTTTATTTCTAGAGATCTTTTTTAAAACATAAAACATTAAAAGTGATTATGTAATAAATTTTGAAAAAATATATCTTATACAGGATTTCGTATATGTTTGGCTTATAAAAGAAATTCTAATGATAACTTTAGGCTAGTCAGTTAATATAGGGTAGAATAGTGAATAAAACATTTATGATTCTTACAGAGGTGTGGTGGAGGGTTTCTTTGCAAGGTGAATTGCCTGAATACCTTAAAAATATATATGTTGATGTCTGGACTGAGGTCTTTTCTGGGAAAATTTCCTTGTAAGAAGACAATTGTCATTATTCTTATAAATTCAATAAGAAGACAATTGTCATTCTTATAAATTCAAATTGCTTTCAAAGTAAGAAACATTTCATAACTATTTTCCTCTTGTAAGTACAGTGGTTTTTGGATGCTTATAAAAATCTTTCACAATATTATTGAGGAAGATGCATTTCTTGTGTGACTTCTTCAATGATCCTTTTACCTCCATAAATACTAAACTTTAAACTTGTAATAATCTTATTTGCTTATATGCAGTTGCTATGTGCAAAGGCCTTGGTGATTATCATTGACTGGCAGGTTCACTCAACTACACTGAACATATTTTGTGTGTCAGGAGCCTCTTAAGCACTTAGGATACGTAGAAGAACAAAAAGACAAAAATCTTGTCTTCACAAAACATCTTCTGGTGGATGAAAGGCAACTCTAAAGACATTAAGGATCATTTTGTCTCTGTATCATCTATCTACCTATAGGTAGGTAGATAGAATGTGATATATATATATATATATATATACACACATATATATATTGCATTATAGGTGCTATACAGAAAATAACAGAATAATGAAAAGTTCTTGTGAGGAGGAAAAATTCTTTGCTTTTACATCCCTAGTTTTATTCCCAGATACTTGCAAATTAAATTGATTAAAGCCAGGTTACCAAAAGAGAAAAAAATCAATTTATTTATGTATGCAATGTGTGTATACATGGGAATGCTCAGTGATGAATAACTCCAAGGAGTGGTTAGAATTTGGGGTTTATATATTGTTAGGGAGGTAAACATATGGAGAAAATGAATGAATGACGTGAATTATTCAGTAAGGTTATCTTTTTTCTGATATGGGAAAAGGAAGGAGGATACTTTTGCTAAAGGAAATTAATACTTTGCGTTTAGGGGGCAGAGAGTCCTTTCTGAGTTTTTGGTTTCTCAGTTGCCTTCATTGAAAATAATTCCTTATGCCAAAGTGCACAACTTGGGGTAGCATGTTTTAATTCCCTTAGTTCCACTTGTGAAGAGGACAGGTGGAAAACACCTCATTTAGAAAGTAGTCTTTGAGTAAAGACTTGGACGCAGAGAAAGAAGATGTTCTGAGAAGACTGAAAAAGGGGAG